GGGAGTGACCAAGAAAAGCTGCCATGGTCTAGCCGCAGCCTGGGTTCAGGTCCTGAGATGGGGAAGGGGCGTCGGCGTGAAGAAATGAATGGTCCGACCATCAGATGGGTTTCACACAAGCGGTGAGCCTATGTAGCTCCAGCTGTCTTTATTTATACATCAAAAACAAGCATGTGTTTTCCATACTAACAAACAAGTTTTTCCCATCCTCCAACATTAACCTCCAGCAAAAACAAATATGTCAAATATGTCCCCCCCCAACTTTCACATCAAAACATCTTTAAGCCCAAAACAACACTTATCATTTTGCTAGCTTGGCCAAATACCAAGCCAGGTACACCCTGTCTTTACAAAACCAAAGGTGATAACATACACAGACATTTTCAAGAACAATGCCGTTCAAAACATATTTACAGAAATAGGGGTGAACTGCCTCCGATCCTGTCAGCACTGAATCAGAACAGCTCCTGGGGCCTGGAGCGACAGCTGGCATCCCCAGACAAGAAACCTGAGAAGCATCAGCTCCCAAGGAATTTTAAGGGAAGATATTTGAGAAAAAAACAAACAAACAAAAAATGGAGTTTCCAGGAATGATTGATTATATGTGTCCCATGCATGATTGACAAAATGACACTAAAACTGCCAAGAAAATCATCAATATTGCAAGAGAGAAGAGAGCATGCAGGCTGAGTGGTCCCAGCAGTGTTCTGCGCTAGCCTGCAGTCCACTGGTCCCTGCTGAGTGAGATTGTCCCCGTGGGCTTTGCCTCATCTGGAGACTCAATGGACAAGCACTCATCTACTGATCTGAAACTAGGCTGCACGGCTCTCAACAGAAAGCATTCAGTGCTAACCTCTGGACTCCACATGCCCGTGTACCTTCATGTTCATGTTCACAACCCCACATGAACATGTACATATCACATACAGAGAGATAACTATGCTTATTCACACCACAATTTTAATGGATTTATTGTATTCTGCTTTATGAATTTGAAATAATCTTCCTGGTTGAAAATTCAGGTCACTAAAAAAGTTCCTGTTGTTATAATAATGTTGCAGAAAATGTAGGACTTTAAATACTCATTATTTCCTTGGTAAAAAAAAAATCTTAAAATTTAAAGCTGTGGCTAAAGGCTATGTTTATTTTAAAGTATTTTGATTTATGAGCATTTCAGAGATGTTGTGAAATGATTGCTTCTTGGAACAGTGTAAGAAAGTCCCCATTTATCTTCACTTTTAGATACTATCTTGAGATAAAAAGGCATTTAAAAAGTCTTTAACTTTTTAAAAATTTCTGTTTCTTTGGTCAGTCACAAGCTTTCATTAGCAAATGTCTTAATTTTATATTGCTTATATTGTCATGACAAAAACACCATGACCAAGGCAACTTATAAAATAAAGCATTTAATTGTGTTCATGGTTCCAGAGGGTTAGAGTCCATGGCTATCATGGCAGACAGCATGGCAGCAGACACACAGGCATGGCACTGAAATGGTAGCTGAGATCTAACATCTATCTGATCTACGAGCGTGAGGCACAGGGAAATACAGATTAGGAATGATGTGGGCCTCTGAAACCTCAAAGCCCACCACCAATAACACACCTTCTCCGATAAGGCCACACCTCCTAATCCTTCCCAAACAGTTCTAGCAACTGGGAACCAAGCATTCAAATAGGTGAGCCTATGGGGACCATTCTCATTTGACCCACCACAGTATATTTTCTTTCATGTTCTTGGCCAATTTTCTTTAAGTGGCAGCGTGTGTTGTCTTACAAGTTAGCCTGAGGAAGTCTTGATACATTTTTGAGATTAGTACATCGTGTATGTTGCAATTATTTTTTTAAGATACCCTTTAGGTTTCTCAGTTACCCTGTAAGTTTTGTTTGTTCATGTCAATTATGTATAGCTCTTAATGATTTCTGATTTGGGCATTATATTTAAAGGCTTTTTAACTCAAGATTTTATATTATCCTATTTTTCTTGATTTCATCCAGTTTTTATTCTTTTCATCTATTTGACTGTCTTTGTCTATGCGTGTTTGTTATTATGTATGTCAAAAGGTATTTTATGATGTGGGTTAGATCATATACTCACACATAATAGTAGTAACAGCAACATTATTTGGTTTACTGTAATTGTATTTACTGTAATTGTATGTATTTGACCAATGAAAAGTTGGACAGTTCTGTGGTTTGACAACTATCCTCACGTTTTTATTATAAAAATTTGACACAAATCTTCCCTATGAAACCCTCTAAACTCAGTGCCATTTCTGGAGGTATAATTCATCCACTTGAGTGGTTTTGTAGTGAGGGCAGTTTGGGTGATGCCTATGTGTGATGACTAACAATTCTAAAGGTCATCAGAGAAGGGAGTCTCCCAGTGACTCACAGTCATGTCGAAAACACAGCTCTCTCTGAGTTTTGCCCTCACAATGGTCCTAACTAAATGCTTCCCTTCCTTGAGGCTGAGGATTGAACTCACAGCCCCATATGGCTGTCATGAAGAGTAAAGGGTAGTTAGAGCTCCTGGGACACAGGTACCCTGGAACAACACGTGTCTACATCTCTACCTACACAACTATCAGAGAAGACAAAACCACCACCAGGCATAGTTGCACTTATGTGTTCTCATCTGTACTACAAGATAGAAGATAGAAAAGTAGGCGGGGGCCGAATGGAGTCAATACAGGGCTGGCTATGCAAGAGCAAAAGAAAACATGTAGAAAGAATGACTGGATAAAGCTAAGGATGGGTTACTAACAAGTTTCTTGAGTAGGGGACTAATTTTTTTTTTTTTTTAAATAAAATCTTATGACAGTGACCTAAGAGCAAGATGGTGGGACTGTTAGAAATGGGGAAATAGAAAGATAATTCTAGAAGACTTGCACATTCCTGTTCTGAGTTTCACAGTGATTTCCACCCTCTTTTCTGTTTTCCTGCAAACTTAAAAAATGTTCTCCTCCACATTTTTATATAAAAATAAATTTATTAAGCTATGATTACATCTCACAAAATTTTATCTCCTAGAAGCATTCCTCATCCCAACTGACATGCGCTGATCTCTGTCTATGCCCCAGCTTTCCCGTTCTAGAGATTTAGTGTAAGTGAAATCATGAGATCTATGCCTACTAGGCCTGTTTGTGCCACAGCCACGTGTTCTGTGTTCCCTCCCCTTTCATTGCTGAATAACACCACAGTGTGTGGACACACCACCTTCCCATTTTGAATTTAACAACTGTAGAAATAGCACACACTATTCGCTACATTCGTGTGCTAAGTGTACAGTCTGGAGTGTGAAGGACGTGCACATTCTTGGGCAGCAAGTTTCCATAGTTTTCATCTTCCAAAACAGGAAAGTTGACTCTAAGTGGTTTCTAACTCTTCCTCTCTCCTTTAGCTCCCAATAACCACACTGTGCTTTCCGTTTCTATAAATCTGAATATTTGTAAATACGTAAGTATTAATTACCAGCATCAATATAGTTAATAGTAACATTTGATGATTAATATTAATTATTTAATTATTAACAATGAACATTAATAAATAATTGTTGACATTAAGTAAAATCGTACATTTCATTCCTAGTTGATCTTATTTAGAGCAACACTCTTGAGATTCATCTAGACCACAACATGTGCCAGGGCTTTCTTCCTTTTCAAGGGTGCATAGTATTCTAGTGCACATCTATCATATTTGAAAATCCATTTTTGGGTTCATGAACAGGTTGTTTTCAGTTTTTTGGTTATTAGGAATTCTCCTCTGAAGATCTGCCAATAAGCGTATGTTTTCAGTTCTTTCGGTATAGATTGCTGGGTCATATGAAAACACCGTGTTTAACTTTTTGACCAACTGCTAAATTATTTTCCAAGGTAGCTGTACTATTTTACACCTCCACCAGCAGGATATGGGGGATTTAACTTCTTTACACTTCTGCCAGTACTTGCTACTGTCTCTCCTTTTGACAACAACCGTTCTGCTGAGTGTGAGGTGTTGTTTTATTGTGGCTCTCATTACATTTCCCTGATTACCAATGATGCCCAACTTCCTCTTTATGAGCCTCATGCATTGCCCACTGTGCTAACGGACAGGGCAATAGAATCTTTAAATAGCAGAGGGAGGGTCGTTCAGCTGGCCCAGTGCTTGCTAGGTGCACACGGAGCCCTCGGTTTGGTCTCCAGGACTGCACAGAACTGGGTGTAGTTACACACCTAGAATTCCAGCATTTGGAAGGTAGGGATAGAAGTAGCAGAAGTTCAAAATCATCCTTGGTTACAAAGCAAATCTGAGGCTAGCCTGGGCTACATGAGACTCTGCCTAGAAGAAGGAAGAAGCAGAAGGGGAGGGGAGGAAGGGAGAGAACATGGAAGCATGGGGAGAGAGTACATTTGGTTTCTGCTACTGTGAGGAAGCCAATAACTAGAGTGAGGGGGGTCCCATCGCTCAGGTCCAATCGGTGTTATTCCTGTTTATAAAAAAACTTCTAATGTAATAATGCTAGCTACTGTCCTAGGTGCTTTTTCATATATTATCTTGAGGACAGCAGAAGGTCTGGAGATGTAGTTCAGTGAATAGAGTGCTTGTCTAGCATGCGTGAGGTCCTGGGTACTACAGGAGTCTGGCATGGTGACACACACCTATAAGCCTTTGTACTTGGGAGGCAGAGGCAGGAAGAGCTGAAGCCCAAGGTCTTTCTCAGATGTACAGCAAGCCTGAGACCAGCCTGGGTTGCTTAAGTTTCTGTCTCAAAACAAAAACAATACTTGAGACACAACTCGTAGCCCTGAGAATGATTCTTTCACAACCATCCTTGAAAGCTTCCTTCAAGAAATCATGCCTTTCAAGCCAAGCATGGTGGTATACACCTTTAATCCCAGCACTGGAGAGGCAGAGACAGACAGATCTCTGTGAGTTTGAGGCCAGCCTGGTCTACAATAGCAAGTTCCAGGACAGCCAAGGCTACCCTGTCTCAAAAAAACAAATAAAATGAACCGCGTGTTCCAATCTCAGTTTACTGTCCACTGAGACTTTCTCTGCATTTTACTCATAAAGGGCCAGTTTCGAGAGTCCCACCTGTCCCCCCAACCCGTTTCTGTTCCACAGTTGTCAGCTCTCAGATTCCCACGTTGAGTGTTTACTTCTGGCCTGTGAGGGACTACTTCCTGCTGCTGAGGGACTCCTTTTGGTCGATCTGCACTGGATGCCTTTCTGGAGAGAGCCTGAGTCACTGCGTGTGAAGTGTTGTGTACATCTTCTTCTTTCTCAGGTAACTACGTGCAGAAGGAATCATAGGCAGCTGGTCCCCTTTGGTCCACTGCCTCTCTATGGAAGGTCACAAATGGACGATGACCGTGACGAAAGGCATCTGAAACAACCTAAGGGTGGAGCTGCAGCTGCCGGAGAGGTTGGATCTGAGGTGTTCTGCCCTGCCTCTAGAAACTTGAGAAAACTTGCTAATACTAGGGCCAAACATGAACTAAATTCAATGCTTCAACGTTGATTTTTCTTTAGTATTATTATTGCTGTGAAGGTCTGTGTGTGGCATGTGAATGATGCATGTGTGGTGAGGGCATGGTGGTGTGGGGGAAGACATGGTGGGACACGTACACCGCAATGACAGTGTAGAGGTCAGAGGACAACTTTTTTACCCTCTCCCAGAGTCAGTTCCTTCATTTGACTGTGGGATTCAGGGGTTGACCTCAGGTTGTCCGGCTTTTGAGGAAAGTGCTTTTATGCACTGAGCCATTTTATCAGGCCCCTTTTTGTTTCCTTTTATATTTGAGATCATCTTGTTACATAGCCCAGGCTGGTCTTGGACTTCAGATTGTCCTTCTTTGGTTTTTAAATGCTAGAATTAAAAGTATGCAGCACCAACCTGGCATGGATTCAATGCTAATACACCATGGCTAATACTCCATATTCCTGTCACTAATAATAGGAATGGCCTCTCAGTCCTTAGGTTATTTTGTTCGACCGCACAATTAGTTTACATCACTCTAGTTTGTTCCATAGGTTCCCGCTGGTCAATCAGCTTTCAGCTCATCTTCCAGGCTGACATCAGCAGGCAGTATCTTTATCTGCATAGAGAACATTTATTGAGTTTGAACACATGCACATTTCATGAACAACTTACAGGAAAAGCTAGATAATCTTGAAACCAGACAGGAATGTTTGGGGTATAATTATGAGAAATAAATGTCAGAGACAGGACAGCAGAATTTGTGTGTGAAGGTCAAACAAGCAGAATCCATTGCAATACAGCCACGTAATCTCCCCACATCATTAGCTAAAAATACAGAGTCAAGTCCGCCCCAGTGTTTGCATAGAAAAGTTTAAAAATGTTTGGCATACAAAAATAGAAACAAATAATCATCTCAAGCATGATTTCTGACCAGATATTCTCATACCAGATTAGGCTGAGTTAAAGTGTTTGGCTGTTCAGTACCAGTTGGACTGGTAGCACATTCCACATGATATAGATTTCTTTAGAGGATAAAGGTGATGAGGAAGTGACATTTTTGCCTCACCTATACAGATGTATATGGGGTAGTAAAACGTGTCTGAACTTTACTGTAGGCTAAAAACCAGGAGAAGATTAAATCTCATTCACCAATGGCAGAATAAAGCAGGCAGTGATGAGAAAGAAAATAGTACTAATATTATGTTGCTGTTAATATGAAACATCGCTAATCCTAATAATCATTTGTTAAAAGAATAAAAATGTTTTCCACACATTTTCTGATTGAAATTTTGTGAGCAGCTTAGAGCTGGGTAAGGTTCTCATGCTCTTGGAGAGGCTGAGGATAGTTACGAGTGGTCTCTTGTCCCTTTTGAGACCTGATCCTCTTCTGGTTCAGGCTTTGTGGGAGCAAGTACTGAAATGCCAATGCACAGGTAGCCATAATGTGTATATTTTGTGTGATTTTCCCAGAGATATCTCTAACAGTTATGTGCAATTTACAAAGGTACCCTACGCGTTCTGACCTAAAAATCGAGAACACATTTAGGCAGAGTCACCACCAATGCCTACTGAAAACACATTTGTCGTGTGAGAGCCGAGCGCAGCGCGGCCACCGATGGCAGAGGACACGAGGCTGGCGAGAGGCTCGTCTTCAGATGCTTCGCCGCTGTTCCCTGTATCTGATCATCTCCTGTACCTAAGGAGAACAAGAAAAGGGACAGTGTCCATTTGGAATTTTTATCTACTCAGAATTACTACATCTTTGTGGGGGTTAAATATGTCGCACTTTAAAACACAGAAGCCCTTGAGCGGAGCCAGTACAAGTAATTCGGACTCTAGAAATTAAGGCTGCATGGTGTCATCTCTAGATAAAACGACTACAAAATAGAGATACAGGGGCTGGGGGATGGCTCCGTGGTTAGAAGCACACACTGCTCTTGCAGAGGACTTGGGTTCGGTTCCCAGCTCCCTAGTCTGGGGGCTCACAACTGCCTGTAACTACAGCTCTAGGAGCCCTCTTCATAACGGTCATTTTGATATTGCTATGAATCGTAATGTAAATATCTCTGTTTTCCAATGGTCTTGGGTGAACCCCCAAAGGGGTCACGACCCACAGATTGAGAACCATCGGCTGAAGAAGACACCAATAACTGGACCGCTCTTTGAAATATTTGCGTGCTGGATAGGTGGAGACAGGAGGATCCCTTTAGGAAGGAAAAAAGGGTGATGTTTTTTTATGTGGGTACCAGGGACCAAACTCAGGCCCTTATGCCTACGTGGCAAGAAGCAGTTTACTCAGCCCTCATAAAGTGATTTTTCTAATTCAGTTCTCAGAGATAAAATTTCTACTTAGGGGCTGAGGAGAGGGGCAAAAGTAAAAGTACTTGCTGTATAAACAGGAGGGCCTGAGTACAAAATCCACACAAGAGCCAGATGTGAGGCAGGAGCATTTTTTTTCTTTTTTTTTTTGAGATAGGGTTTCTCTGTGTAATTTTGGTGTCCTGGATCTCACTCCATAGACCAGGCTGGCCTTGAACTCATAGAAATTCTCCTGCCTCTGCCTCCCAAGTGCTGGGATTAAAGGCGTGCGCCACTGCTGCCGGGTGTGGCAGGAGCATTTTTAATCATACTGTTTCTGCAGGGATATGGGAGGTAGAGAAAATCTGAGGAGACTCTCAGAGCCGGCTAGCCTGGTATGGTCAGCAGAAAAACAACAAAGAGACCCTGTCTCAAACAAAGTGGAAAGTGAAGAACGACGACGTTCCAGGTTGCCCTCTGACCTCTGCATGTGTTCCAAGGCACCCACAATGCCCATGTTCTCACAGATGAATGCACACACACACACACACACACACACACAGATACACACACACACATACACACACACACACACACACACACACACACACACACACACAGATACACACACACACAGATACACACACACACACACACACACACACACACACACACACACACACACACTGTACATGAGAGTTTGTGTTTGTGAGCCCCATGTATAAACCTCCATCGGATCCCAGAAACATGAACTCACAGGACCAATCAAAGTAGTGTAGCCAATGCTTGAGCATTTGATCAGAAGTAAGACATCAATCACAAAAGATAAGCTAGAACTCAGGGTTGACACTTAGCATGTTACCAGCCTGCAAAACTCCCACCGTTCACCGAAGGACTATAGCAGAACTCAGTCTGCATACTGTGTTTACACCATTCAAGACTGTCTAAAGGGATCTTACAGACACCTAAAAATGCTATCCACCACGAGCAGGAAAAGTAGAGAATGACTCAGAGATAATCTTATTGTTGAGATGGTCAAAACAGGGTCTCTAAAGTCAGGAGATCTTTGTCTAGGAAACAAAAAGTACACTGAAAAGAAAAGAAAAACACAGGAAATGGCAGAAGTGGAAAAGATCAAAACGATCGAATAGAAATTCTTCACTCTTTTTTTTAAAATTAAGATACAATGATATCATTTTCTTCCTTCCTTTTCCTCCCTCAATTTCGTCCATGTCCTTCTTACTCCTTCTCAAATCCATGGCCTTTAGTGTGTGTGTGTGTGTGTGTGTGTGTGTGTGTGTGTGTGTGTGTGTGTGTGTGCAGTTATGAAGCAGCAATGAAAATAACGTTATGGTTGGGGGTCACTACAACATGAGGAACTGTGTTAAAGGGTCACAGCACTAGGAAGGCTGAGGACCACTGGCTTAGGCTCACTGCACATCTAGCCCAGCCCAATTAATGAACTTCATGTTTCATCTTGTCTGTCAGTCAGTCAGTCAGTCAGTCAGTCTGTCTGTTTTTTTTTTTTTTCCCACAGGGCTGCCTAGAATTCACTACATAGCCAGGCTATCTTCAAACTCACCACAATCCTCCTGCCTTAGTTTTCTAAGCATTGGGATTACAGTTTTGAATCACCACACTCCACTCCTCTGTATTTACCGCATTGTATTCTGTTGTTTCTTATAATTTTATTCCACATTCATTTCTCTTTTCTATCCTCCTTTTCTTTTTCTTTCCCCCTCTTCCCTTCTCTTTAAACTACCTAGTTATTTATCTCTCTAGCTTTGATACTGTTTAGACTCTTATCTCATCCTGAAGGTGTTTAATTCTCTTCTAACCTTATCGGAGTGCAGTTCATTCATTCATGTTTCTATGGGGTTTTTGTTTGTTGTTTGTTGTTTGTTTTGCTTTTTGGTTGTTGTTGCTACAATTAAATATATAATCTCTTTTGAATTGCTTTTATTACTGCTGTCTGAGGTGACTGAAGACAGGTTGAGGAAATTTCACATTCAGACAGCCATAAAGAAAAAAAATACACACACGAATATAACCATAACTTTGAAGAACCTTGGGATGTGATCAAGAGGCCAACCCCCAGAACCCATGGTGTAGAAGAAAGAGCTGAGATGAAAAATTAAAGGTTGGCTCTCTGGTTAGGAGAGCTTGCTGCTCTTTCAGAGGAACCAAGTTCAGTTGCCAGAACCCATGTTAGGCAATTCACAATCACCCAAACTCTATGTTACACTAGCATCAGTCATAACAACCCACATGGGCTCACTGATGTCTAATTCAGAATAGAGAATTTACAAATAAAAAGGAAGGACGACACGGATCCTATGAGTGAATCTCATTAGCAGGTTGCTGATCAAAGAAGGCTCTTAAGTAATCAGTACATATTAATTCCTTTCATATTAAGTTTTTAAAGGATTTGACATTTTGTGTAGAGAAAGGGTAAGGCACAAAGTTGAGTTCTGAGAGCTGGCAATATGATGTCTCTTGATTTTGAAGGAAGAAAGTAGGACTGTGAGTCAAAAGGTTAACTCTAGAACCTAGCAACGGACAAGACTGCCCTTCATGGGTGGTGGTGATGCATGCCTTTAATCCCAGCACTCGGGAGGCAGAGCCATGTAGATCTCTGTGAGTTCAAGGCCAGCCTGGTCTACAGAGTGAGCTCTAGGACAGGCACCAAAACTATACTGAGAAATGCTGTCTCAAAAAACCAAAAAAAAAAGAAGGCAGGAGTTGGGGGCTGGAGAGATGGCTCAGAGGTTAAGAGCACTGGCTGCTCTTCCAGAGGTCCTGAGTTCAATTCCCAGCAACCACATGGTGGCTCACAACCATCTGTAATGAGATCTGGTGCCCTCTTCTGGCCTGCAGGGATACATGCAGGCAGAACATTGTATATATGATAAATAAATAAATCTTAAAAAGAAAAAAAAAGTGCCTCACAGGCATTCCTATATCATCTCCTGGAGATTATTCTATGGCTTGTATGATGGCCCCTTCCAATGAACAGAAAAAATAACACCACATTTAAGAAGTAAAACCTAGGATATTCCCGAGACACACATGTATATGAAAGAAATAGAGTGTCCCAAGGTCACTTTGGGATGTCATGAAGAACTTATGCTCAATAAGGATGAGGTTATATAACATAGGTCAGTCCAAGGAATACCCACTCCTTCTGGGAACCCTTCCCATCCCCTTTAAAATTAAAAGCCCCTGGATTGGTAATAAGGCGGCTCTTGAGCCATGCGTTTGCCTGAGACTGACTCTGCTCTGTGGAGTGTACTCTTTGCATTCACTTTCAATCAAACTGTCTTAGTCAGGGTTCTATTGCTGTGAAGGGACACCATGACTACAGTGTTGGGTCCTGCCTGACTATTGAACAGTCCTTTAAGGGAGGAGTGAGGATTAAGAAATAATAGATATGAAAAATATATGATGTAAAAGGAAAAGACAGATACATAGAACAGCATTGGGAGGGCTCTGAGTCAATACCACAGTTGCCCCAAGTTTATTCCTTATGGGCTTTTTATACACAAGCAAGGAGACAGGCAAAAGACCATCCCCTCTTTCAAAGACACGATGGTTCAAGGTACCAAGTACAGAAAAGTGTAAACAATTAATTCTCAAAACATCTAGTAGACATGACTTATGGCAAAATATCCTGAAATTAGGCCTTGAAGCATAAGACACTTGGTAATCATGCATTTGGCCAAAACATTCTATTATGCAGCCTTGCAGGGCAAAACAAACTCGGACTCTCTGACCTTGAGTCAATATGAAATAAGGCCACACCATGGTGTCTCTGTGGGTCCCCACACCACAGCAACTCTCATAAAGGAAAACATTTAATTGGGGCCGGGCTTACAGTTCACAGAGGTTTAGTCATCATGGTGGAAAGCGTGGAGGCATGCAGGCAGACATGGTGCTAGAGAGGAGCTGAGAATTCTACATCTGGATCCCCAGGTAGTAGGAAGGAGGGGTGAGACTCTAGGCCTGACTTGAGTATCTGAGACCTCAAAGCCCATCCCCAGTGACACACTTCCTCCAACAAGGCCACACCTACTCCATCAAGAACACACCTCCTAATAGTGCCAGTCCCTATGAGCCTATGAGGCCCTTTTTATTCAAACTACCACAAAAATCTATGCTCTTGCATTGATTTTCTGTGTTTTGCTCCATGCTTTGAGTCCCTTAAGACTCATCCTCTGATAACAACTTGGTTGGTGATTTCATAGACCCAATCACTTAATATTAGTCAATTAGGCTATACAATTTCATCTGCAATTTTCTGCTTGTATGATAGAAAAGTTCTAAAAAATGAAAAAAATTCTCCCCTTTGAAAGAGCAAATAGTTATTTCCATTCAGCATTAATTATTCTGGAGATTTCTAACCTGTTTACTGTATCGGTCATTATCCCAACCAAAACAACAACCAGAAAAACAGATTGTATGTTCACAATAGAATTCTATGAAGGTGATTCATAAAGGGGTTACTTAAAAAAGAAATAGGTATAGAGAGTCATATGGAACAAGGTAATCATTTAATGCTAGAGATAGTAGAAGTAACTTTAGGCCTGAAGGGTGTGTGTGTGTGTGTGTGTGTGTGTCTGTGTGTGTGTGTGTGTGTGTGTCTGTGTGTCTGTGCGCGCACGCGCGCCTATGTGTGAGCACACACATGCCTGCGCTGAGGTGGGATATGAATATTATTGGAATCCAAAAGGTAATAGTCATGCAAAGCAAGATGCCTCTAGACAGACAGATCAAAATGTACTCAATAAAGAAGGCTGTAGAATAAACCTGAGCACACCTTTCTTTTTTATTCCTATTCTTCATCCAGGGTTTTTCATTGGCTTACCCCAGTGGAGAATCAGGATACAAGCTTAATTTAGTCCCTATAGACCAGCCTCTCTGTAGGGTGGAGAAGAGAGAAAGATGGTTGTGAAGTATCAAAGAGAAGACCTGCAATACATGTGATAAGACAAAGGGTCAAGAAGAGTTATTAGAAAGGTCAAAAGACAACTTGCAAATGACACGCGCGTGTCTGAGGAAGCCCCCAATGCTTCAATACTGGAAACACTTGTCTAGAATCAAGTCAGGTTCAGTGGGGCTAATGACTATCAGAATAGCAAAAATATTGTATTTCTACATGCCAGCTAGTTAGGTCCTAAAATTTTAAAAATTTCTATGTACAGTAGCATCGAAACATTAAATGCCCATGAGAAAAGCCAATAAAATACATGCATAACATGCATGCAAGTAATAATTGTACTAAGAGAACTTAAGACCTAAATGGAGGGCAAGGAAGGATGGGGAACACTCATTTTAAAGTTGCCGCATCTCCCCAAGGAAAAACCCAGTTGAGACTGAAGGAAACCACACACAAAAAGATACTGCTGGTGTATGCTTGTATGTACATGGAGGTACACATTTGTGTAACTTCATGAATAATTCTTAAAACTCTTAGTATGGAAATAGAGGTCCAAGAAGATCAGAGATATGTTTAAAGAATAATAAAGTGGGCAAGCTTCTCTATTGAGTTATTCCAGTCACAATAATTAAGAGTCTTATTTTGTAGCAAAAGTATAAATAAATATGTGGGATAATTGAAATACAGAGCAGTGTATAAATTATGGCCTTTTACTAAAAGGAGCTGCTTTCTGGATGAATGAAAGAAGTGAATCTTTACCCAATCCCCTATTATACACAAAACTGATCCAAGATTGTAGACATAGATGTGAAAGGGAACAAACAAACCCTGCTTCGTTTTACACACACACACACACACACACACACACACACACACACACACACACACAAAGTAATGTAGGAAACCATAGTCAAATGTGGGCGAAACTTCCAGCAGAAGACATTGGAAATGATAATCATAAAGAAAAATATTGTTACATTTGATATTAAGCTTAGGCATTTCTGCTCATCGAAAGATATAAGGCAGAAGGTGCAACAGGGAGTGGAAGGACAGACAAAACAGATGTGATTAACCAAAAACCATAGCCAGAATACACAGATGCCTGTTGCTAAGGAGTAAGGCATAAAGCAATACTATAGAAAGACAAGTGTTTCCAAATGGCCAGTAAACAGATAGAAAAGCCCGCAAATGCCTACCAGCTAGGAAAAGGCAAAGGGAGACTGTAAATGTTACCTACTGGCTTACCTGAACAGCCAAGGCTAAACACAGTGGCGACAGTGAACACTGGGAAAGCCACAGAGCTGCCGGGGGAAGGGGTGCACACTGGTGCACTCATGTTGGAAAATGAAAACACTCCATGTGAAGCTAAGCAAATACGTGTTCTACAATCCGGTGATTAAAGCAAGCAGTGTCGTTCACTGAACGACATGAATGGGAAAGCTCACAGCAAGATTTTTTTGTAATAGCTCCAAATGGGAAATAATCTGCATGTCCATGAAAAAAAAAAGAATGGCTCAGCCGTAGTATTCTACGTGATGAATAGCATGGAGTGACAAAAATGCATGAACACAATAGATGGATCCATCTCATAGACATAATTTTGGGCAAAAGAGGTAAGACAAAAACAGTACTGAGCATAGATAGTTCAATTCAGAGAGCTTGCAGGTCTAAATAGAAGTGTTTCACGATTCATGTTCAGCAGTAATATTTTAAAGAAAAGTGAGCAAGTTATTGCAAAGGTCAAAATAAGCAATTCCTTCGTGGGAAGTCATGATGAGGAAGGCTTCTGTGACGCCAGGGATGTTCTTTTTCAGTTGGAGACAGGGTCTCACTACGTAGCCCTAGCTGGCCTCGAACTCACAGAGATCTGTCTGCCTCTGCTTCCTGAGCACTGGCGTTCACGATGTGAGCCACCATCCCTAGCTTTGTTCTGTACTTCGATGAAAACTCTCGAATGGAAGCTGCGGTGTGTTTCCTTCACGGCGACTCGGAGCTGTTCATGGCTTGCTTTGTTCGTCTGTCTGTGTAGGTCGTTTTCTGACAATGAGAATAGAAGGGTTGTCCACTCTCCCACTCCGTACCTGGTCGAGCATGAAATACAGGGGATCATCCGGCTTTTCATAGACGAGGTTTTCAGTGATATGCTGAGAGAAAACACAACGCACCATGCTTGAGAGGTTTGCGGTCAGCTCCCCACTACCCGAGGGTATATCATAGTCCATGTTAAAGACATTCACATGTCCCCAAGTAACATCTTACTCTCTTTATTTGAATGAGGTCAGGCAAATTAAGATCAAATTTGGAGGGATAAAATTTTAATTTAAGAAGCAATGAATATTTTTTGGTTGTTTCCAAGACCAAAGAGGTGGTGGGTAAGTTGTAAAGCATTTTGAGAACTGGCATATTGCTAGATGATCAGTCAATAAATTGTTTGCTTGAAAAAGAATCAAAGGATGGTGTTTTGAATAGAAATAGAAAACACTGGGGATTTACATATGATCTTCCAAAATGTTTGACTTTAAAATGTGAAAATTATGTTTAGTTTTTGTATTAAATGAGGAAGGATATATCAGATTTATGAGACAGACTATGCTTTTTGATGTTATTGAATAACTTAAAATGTTATCATAAAGCAAGCAAACATTTCATTTTCAGGGAATAATCATCAGGTCCATTTCAGGAATAATACATTCAAATATGCTCAATGTATCTGTATTATGTATTCAATATATACTTGGAATTTTTAATTTAATTAATTAATCAATTGATTTTATAGTGCTGGAGACCTTGTGCATGTGAGGCACATATCCTCTCGCTACATCTCCAGCCCTTTCATACATATTTTTATTGAACAATATACATATTTGATAATTTATTTTCCTTAATATCACACTGCATTCATAAGCATTATTTTTTCTTTAATTTGAAAAATTATAGAATCATCAATTTTTAAAAAAATATTTATTATTAGTGTGTATGTATGTCTGTGCATGTGTGTGTGTGTGTGTACCTTGGTACATGTGGGGAGCTTGTATTAGTGTGTATGTATGTCTGTGCATGTGTGTGTGTGTGTACATTGGTACATGCGGAGAGCTTGTATTAGTGTGTGTGTGTGTGTGTGTGTGTGTGCACAAGCATGTGGGGAGCTTGGAGGCCAGCTCTGTGGAGTCAGTTCTCTCCTTCCCCCTTTACATGGGTTTGGAGGACTGAACTCAGGTCATTAAGCTTTTTAGACCAAAAGGCCAGGGCTTTTACTCCACTGAACTATCTTGTTAGCCCTCAAACTCGGCTTTCCTAAATATGTTCCCTCCTTCTATTTAGCGGTGACTGATTAAAGGCAGAAACCTAGCCACTTGTACTATACCAATCAGAGGACATTTTAAGAAGGAAACACCACAAAACAGACCTAACGAAACAGATATTTTTAAATGCCTATTTTATATGAGGAGTCTGAGTAATATCCCCCACTCACGGAGCTGTGCCAACTTAGAGTTTGAATGGTGGTGCTCAGAGAGTGTGGTATTTATACTCTTCCCCTGGACCAGTGGTTCTCAGCCTTCCGAACGCTGCGACCCGTCAATACAATTCCTCATGTTGTGCTGACCCCAACCACAGACTCATTTTCGTTGCTACTTCATAACTGTCATTTTGCTACGGTTATGAATCATGATGCAAATATTTGTTTTCTGTTGGCCTTAAGTGACCCCTCTGAAAGGGCCGTTTGACCCCCAAAGGGGTCTGGGCCTACAGGTTGAGAACCACTGCTCTTTACCCTACTTCAAACTTGTCTACTTTGGATGCTTTCATTAGGGGCAAACTGCTCTAGTTTTACACCTGTCTAAAACAGATACTCTTAAACACACACTGTTATAGGTGGATATGTGGGTTGCTTGTCGAATAATAGTACTGTGAAAAGAAATGTACCTGATGAACAAAATCAAGCCACTGCATTATAGCTGCAATAATCTCTCATAGCTCCATACTGCTCAAGAAATCTCTCTAAAGGAAGTTTCCGCTTTAAACACTGTGATCAGTGAGATTTATGAATTCAGGAACTGGAAGGAATTTGTTAATTCTACCACTTCCTTCGGAAGAATGTTGCTCTCAGTTGGTCCTGAGAATGGCCTCTTTTTGAAGACCCAGCTCTAAGAAGCTCTTTAATTATGTTTCTCACTGATTTTTTTTTCTTATAAACTTACTTAAAACTAAAAAGTTAATTGCTGGCCAAATTCTTCCCCAACAACCATCCTTCATGGTCTCCAATGCCTTTGATGGTCTTAATGCTACAGTATCCTTTGCTGGATGTTTCTCATCTACTCCTTTTGGTAAAAACACTAATTGCTGAAATAGACCCGTGCTGCCCCACCATGCCCCCACCTTTTTCAGAAGATTTCTTCTACCATGTTTAAAGCCCATACCAGGAAGGAAAGTTAAGCATTAAGAGCCTTACCTGGAATATCTGGAGAATGTTGTGCTTTTCCATGTAGCGGAGTGCAACTTGGTAAGGGTCTTCAAAAATGATTGGAGGGAACCGCCTCGTGTAGGTTTGACTGGTTCTCTGAGAACCCTTTCTTGGCTCAATTTCGGTTTGAATATCCTGAAATTGAAATATTCCCCCAAAGATTTATCTTTTTTTAAAAAAAAATCTAAAAATAATAGCACATTTTTTTTGCTGTTCTTATCAGTGGGATCTAGATTTGATGAAATTTAAAATTAAGAATTAAGATTTAACACCAAGAATTAAGGATATGTAAAGTATCTACTATTAAGTAGATACGGCTATGTTACTTTCATGGTGTGTGTGTGTGTGTGTGTGTGTGTGTGTGTGTGTACACGCACATGTGTGAGCATGTGTGTTTGTGACTAATGACCTTCAGGGTTCCTTACAGGAGTGTGGGTCAAAGGTTATTTACAGAAGCATGGCTAACTGTAACCAGTGGTTATGCTATTGAAGAAAATATATCTGTCCCAGTAACCACTAACTGCCTATGATCCTCAGAGCCAGTTCTATGAGAGATCCAACATATCCTTAAGCACTATAAAGTACCTCAAAACTTGGTGGGAGGCTACCTTAAGCTTTTCTACTTCAAATACTTTCTCTCACACAGGGATTTCCAGTTCACTTCAAACCCACTCACTATGGTAGAAACCTAGCGTGGGAAATGATTGAGTAGCACAGTGTTAGTAGCAGAACGGGAAACCCTTGGCTTCCCAAATCCTGCTTCACTGATCCTTCCTGAGAGGCCTGAGGATAATTAGGAGGCAACATACCTCTGTTTCACATCCTTCCTGAAACTTATGGATTGCGTAGAAGATGTTACATGGGTTTATTCCTCATCTCTGATTTAGCATGCATCGTTCTACCCCCTTGTTCTGGTTCCTAACCCCACGGGTCCTGTCCTGTCCTTTAACCTCCCAGGCAGGTATCAGAATGTCCCTTTTACCTACAGTAGTGATTTCTGTGCTTTGAAATTTGTCTTGGCTGGAGGAATAGTACGTTTTGGTTGTGATGGAGGGCAGTTTTTCGTACGAGGACTGCGAGTCACTGGTGAATTCGGTATCGTGTAGGTTGTAAGCTTGGATAGTGGTTGTACTTTCTGTTTCCCCAGCAGTTGAAACCTTGGATTTGAGGTCCGTTTGGCTATCTTCAAAGGTGCAAGGCTCTATTTTGAAGTCAGCTTCTTTGACCTCTTTGGTGTCACCGATATCAGCTAACGACCGGTTCTCAGCCTGGGCAATTGTTTTGTAGTATGAACGGTAGTCAGCCGGTTTTTCTGTCTCATGGCTAGTACTGTCATAGTTCCTTTCTGAACCTTCACTAAACTTACGTTGATCAGTGGCATCTTCATCCAGGACATCAGCTTGGTTGGTGAACTGGCGTTGACTCTTTCCTGATGTTCTATAGTCATCTTGGTCTGATAAGGTGTGCTCGCCATACTCCCCAGTTCCTTCATCAGCCTGCTCAGAAGTTTTCCCACCAGATGGCAAAGACGCTTGGTCTTCTATCTTCTCGGAGACTTTTCTCTCGTGTAGGCTGGGCAGTTGCTGACTAGTTGGCTTAGAAGTTCTTCTCTCAGCCTGGCCAGATGATCTACGGTCAACCTGCTGAGATGGTCTCCTGTCAGTGTGACCAGGGGACCTGTGGTCAGTCGGCTGAGAAGCCTCTTCTGAAGTTCTTGGGTCAGTCTGTCCGGATCCTGCACTAGCATCTTGGTTGGATGCCTTGTCACCAGTTTGCTCGGATGGTCCAACCCCAGCATCATCAGAACCTCTTTGAGGAGCCTGGCCTGCTCCTCCTTCTATGTAGGTCTCCTGGTTATTTGGGGACTGGCCTGGGTTTTCACTGTTCAAGGATCCATCTGGAGCCTCTTCTGGAGGCTCATCCATTTTCTGCTGCACCTCTGACTGGCCTCAGTTGCCAGGCAGTGTGGGAGGGGCCTGGGCTTGGTTGTCTAGGCAACCTTCCATGGGCTTTGTTCTGCCTCTGCTAGGGCAGCTCAGAGTAGGTGGGTGGATATCTGGCTAATGACTGGGCAACAGTCACTGTCAATAGGAAGACTGCCCATGGGCTACTGCAGTGTGAGCAAGAGCTGGGACACTGTCTCCTGAGAAGAGAAGAGGTGAAACCCATAGACAGGCAATCTGGCTCTATTACTGCCTAGTGTAGTGTAGTGTAGTGTAGTGTAGTGTAGTGTAGTGGTTTTTTTTTTTTTTTTGGCCAAGACAGTGTTTTTCTGTGTAGTTTTGGTGCCTGTCCTGGATCTTGCTCTGTAGACCAGGCTGGTCTTGAACTCACAGAGATCTGCCTGGCTCTACCTCTTGAGTGTTGGGATTAAAGGCATGCACCACCACCACCCAGCTTTGTTTTTTTAACTCTTACTCTTTTGGCTCTTTATTCTTTGGAGGCCTGCCAACCAGCTCCCAAATAAATCACACAGAGTCTTATACTTACTTATGAATGCCCGGCCTTAGCTTGGCTTATTTCTAGACAGCTTTTCTTAACTTATTCCATTTACTTTTTGCTCTGGGTATTTTCCTTTTCTTACTTCTGTGTACCTGACTTTCATTCTTACTCCATGGCAGGCCCCTGGCATCCTCCTCTCCATTTCTCACTCTTCAATCCTGCTTGCTCTTCCCTGGTCTCTCCTCCTATTTATTCTCTCTGCATGCCAGCCCCACCTATCCTTTCTCCTGCCTAGCTATTGGCTGTTCAGCTTTTTATTAGATCAATCAGGTGTTTTAGACAGGCAAAGTAACACAGCTTCACAGAGTTAAATAAATGCAACATAAAAGAATGCAACATATCTTTGCATCACTAAACAAAAATTCCACAGCATAAACAAATATAACACATCTTTAACTAATATTCTACAACAGCCTAGCAGCGAGGTCTCATAGGCATCTAGAGCTGTTCCTCTTCTTGTATTGTTCTCTGTTTATTTATTTTATTTTTTTTTCAGGCAGGTTCAGGCAGTGTGGGCACTAGGTACCACCCTCAGGCTCCACTCTTATAATCAACTCCTCCCACTAAACCACATGAGGGTCCCACACCTGAGAGGGTAGACTAATATTGCCATTAAGCTAAATTCATGCTGCTTTGGGGTCTGACTTCGCCTTGTCACATCCATGCTCTGTAGCGTGTGAGGCATTTTCTTGCTGAGTTAGATGAAAGGTCTATGGCTGGAATGACAGCTGGCAGATCTAGTGAGAATGGGTTCTAAAGGCATCCTGTCAAGTAGTCTTAGAACAAATACAGTGTTAGGGTGAGAAGGCCAAACCAGAGTTCCAGAAAGGAAGAAAATGAAGTGTGGACATATACCAAAAGAAGAAGTTTGACAAATAGAGAATTTGCACTTGGTAGTGGTGGCTACTGGGCACCAGGTTTTAAGATTTGCACCCCTCTTCTGAAATAAAATATAAATAATGCATGTGTGAGGTCAGATAATCTATTACCATAAGTTTAATTGCATTTAACAATTAGAGATTTAAAGTTCAAAAGCCAATAGTTGGGGCCAATCTGTGGAGGGAGTGGGAACTTGGCTCCAAATTCAGGAACAGAGAGGGAACTCCAGGGGCACTGAGAGAAAGCCATTTGTGAACAAGTGCCTAAAACAGAGCAGTACCTCAAAAAGTGTCTGCTGAATGAAAATTTATAAATGATCTGCCATATTTAAGACCATATAGGAGAAATGGACACCATGTTAGCATAAGATAAGTGATGAACTGCCTTATAGCTTGTGCCTTCCAAAAGATATGTCTGTGTATCTGCTTTTCATTTACATACAACCATCATAGAAAGAGAACCATAAAGAAAACATTTCCTTAATATTAAGGTTACTTTAATATTGATATGCATATGCATATATTTTTTTAAATTTTATTTTATAATTATTTAATTTTACATATCAGCCATGGATTCCCCTGTCTTCCCCCCTCCCACCCCCACTACCCCCACCTTCCCCCCAGGCTCCCCATTCCCATCTCCTCCAGGGCAAAGAGTCCCCTGGGGATTCAGCTCAATCTGGTAGATTCAGTCCAGGCAGGTCCAGTCCCCTCCTCCCAGGCTGAGCTAAGTGTCCCTGCATAAGCCCCAGGTTCCAAACAGCCAGCTCATGCACTAAGGACAGGTCCCAGTCCCACTGCCTGGGAGCCTCCCAAACAGTTCAAGTTAATCAACTGTCTCAGTTATCCAGAGGGCCTGATCCAGTTGGGGGCTCTATGGTGATATTTTATTTGTAATGAAATGTGATTTTCATTGTATGTTAATAAATAAAGTTCCCCGGGGGTCAGAGCTATTAGAGCCATAGC